AATCTATAATGGCAAGGTCGATTGCGGGACCCACCCTGCTAGTCCTCGAACAAAAAACACACTGCCATTTCTTGGGTACGACTGCCAAGGCACACTGCAGAGGCATGGTGTAGTAGGTCAGAACTCGGATCAGGCAGCGTGCCCCAAAATGAATCAAGAGCCCTGGATGCATCCACCGCTCAACTCTGACAAGACAAGTCAACCTTTACAACCTGTCTCCACAGTGGCCAGCTGGCTCGTCTAGCATAGTTTGGAGGTTCGGGATTTGGCTGATTGGGGAAGTGTAGTAGAACTATGGCAGTGCACTTGGGTTGGGTTGGGACCACGCTCCGGCTCAAGCCGACCTGGCGATTACTGTAGTTTGTGCGACGAGCGTCATAGGCCCGTTGCCGTCGCAAGGATCGCATGGGTCGTGCCGTGTCCTCTGCTACTGTTGCTCGATTTTGGCTGGCCTGGTCTGGCTGGTTTATTTATGGACCCAAATGGCGCACCAATTTCTTTGCGTCGCGTTGTGCCTAGAACCGAAATCAATTGTTCTGGAAACCTGCAAAACTCGCACACCAATTCCTTTGCGTCGCGTTGTGCCTAGAACCGAAATTATTTTTTCTGAAAACCTGCAAAACTTGCAATGCCGTACTGTACACTGTACGCCCAATAAATGTCGGGTTTCAATACCCATGTTGTTGGTTCGGTTGGGGGTTCGAAATCTCCCTGGTTCGGAAGTGGCGGAGACGCTCGTCAGTCAAACACCCTAGCCTGGGATGAGAAAACAAGGGTTTTTAGTTTTCCTGGAAGGATTACTGTTCCGCTGGCTTTCTTTCTTTCAAAGGACTTCCATCTCAACTTGCGCACACTTTCCGCTGTTCCGCTTCTGAGACGTAAGATGTATTGTGCTAACACAGATTTCGGCTTCTACGCACATCACGCAAGCACTGTTTTCGTCGGCTGTCTTCTGCCAGCAAGCACAAAACTAAACCCCTCTCGGATGGCAAGTTTTCAAGGGCATCATCCCTAAACACCATACGACAAGGCGTTTAGGGTTGATGTCCGCCAGTGATTTAAACTTTGGGGCATCAACCCGAAACACTTAGTCGCAAGGTGTTTAGGGTTGATGCCCTTCTTCACATTGCCAGCCAAGAGTGATTTAGTTTTGGCATCAACCTTAAACACTTAGCCGCAAGGTGTTTAGGGTTGATTCCCTTCATTAACATGCCAGCCGAGAGGGATTTAGTTTAGCGCGGATAAAAAGGCAAAATAGTGTTGTGCACCTGTTACGAGTGCAATTGAGTGAACGAACGAGAATTGCACTATCGAAGAAAGAGTACAATGAGCGAAGGCATGAGCGAAGAATATATAGCGAAACTACAGTGGTAACGGTAATGGTCGCGCGACGAGCCTGGGACTGAGGTTGGGAAAATGTCGAAGCGTAGGCCCGGAGCGCGGGTTACCAGCCGAGCCGTGAGGTCGGGATGCGATGTGCGAAAATGGCGGGATGATGAATGATGCGATGGTCGCGAGTGGTAACGGTGCTGACTGAGGTGCTACAGTGATGTACGCGTTGAGCAGGGATGCGAAGTAAGGAAAAGGGAATTTCCTTACACTACCCCCCCCTCCTAAAAAGGTCCTCCTTACGAAAACGCTTGGACGTCTTTGAAGTTTCGGCTGCGCAGATAGTCGGTGACGACAGGGTGGTTTTCAATTCTGTCCAGGGGAACCCAGTTGTCCTCGGTGGGGGTACGATCTTTCCAGCGGATCAGGAACTCAACTTTTCGGGCTCCTCGAGGGTCGCGAACTCTGTGGCTCAAGATTTTGTCGGGGGTGATGACTGGTTCGGTTGGTGGTCGTGACATGCTGGATGGTCGATGTCGTGGGAGTTGGCTAGTGGATGGTACGTAAGGGCGAAGCAGGCTGACGTGGAACGAGGGGCTGACGTACCAGTCAGCAGGAAGGAGGAGGTGCGCGGTGACAGGTGTGATCATGTGACTGATTCGAAATGGCCCACAGTATCGAGGGCGGAAATTGGGAGTGATGGGCAGGCGGAGGTTCTGAGTGTCGAGTAAAACGAGGTCGTCGGGCTGGTAAGTGACGGGTCTGCGGTGGCGATCGGCGTTGCGTTTAGCGATGGTATTTGATTTTTTGATTGATTCTGCTGCCCTGGTCCGTGCTGCTTGCAAAATCTCGGCGAACTGTTGTGCGCGTGGAACGGGATTGTCGGGGTTTGGTGTCTTGGGTACTGTTGGGTTCTGTCCGTAATTCAAGTAGAATGGCGACTGTTGGGTCGTGGCAGATGGTGCGTTGTTGTATGCGAATTCGATGAGAGGCAGCTGCTGGTCCCACGTGTTTGGATCGTCACACGTGGCTCGAATGAGCTGCTCCATAGTCTGGTTTGTCTGTTCTGTCTGTCCGCCGGTTTCGGGGTGATACGATGAACTGAATTGAAGTCGCGTGCTGAACTGCTGCCACAGTTTCCGCCAGAAATTACTGGTAAACTTCGTATCCCTGTCGCTGATGATCGACGCTGGTATCTCGTGCAGTCGAACGACGGTGGTGATGAAGAGTCGGGCTGTTTCCTCGGCTGTGATTGATTTCCTGCATGCTACGAAATGTGCCATTTTCGTCAGTCGATCGACGACGACCAGGATCGCGTCATTCCCACTCGCCCCAGCTGGTAACCCCGTGACGAAGTCCATCGTCACCTGCTGCCAAGCACGCTCTGGAGGCGGGATGGGTTGCAATTGTCCCGCCGGTCGCTTCCTGCTTGACTTCATGAGCTGGCAAGTGGGACACGATGCCACGTGTTGTTGCACGTCGGTCAACATTTCTGGCCAGTAGTAGTACCGCTGCAGCTGCTGCCGTGTTTTTTCTACTCCAAAATGTCCCAAGGTAACTCCGTCGTGTGCCTCCTGTAACAGTAGTTCCCGTAATAGTGTGTACCCTGGTACCCAGATGCGGTTGGTTCCAGCTTTTACGTAATAGACTCCCTTGGCTGCTGCGAATTGCTGTGAATTTCCTCCTGTGAAGAATGGGTCTGTTTGATATCCATGGGTAAATAGTCCTGTCAGTAGCGGGCTGGTCTGGGCGAGTAGTATCGCATGGATCTGGGCAGTGGGGCGGGTCAGTGCGTCAGCGATGTTTGAGGCTCCTTTTTTATATGTGACCGTATAGTGAAAATTCGACTCGAGAAAATCGAGCCGCCGAATCTGTCGTGGGTTGAGGTGGGGCTGTGCGCGAAGGTACTGTAGGGATCGATGGTCTGTCCGTACTGTCACGTCTGCGGCGGTCAAGTAGCAGCGCCAAACTTTGAAGGCATGCACGATCGCGAGCATTTCGCGGTCGTGTATCGGGTAATTTCGCTCAGGTGGATGTAGCTTGCGTGATTCCTAGACGATGGGTTGGAGGCCGTTGCCGAAGTCCTGTAACAGTACTGCTCCGATGGCGATGTCACTTGCGTCTGTAACCACTTCGAAGGGGCGGTGTGGTTCAGCGATGCGTAGGACGGGTGGTGAACAGAGAACATTTTTCAGGGCAGAGAAGGCAGCATGCTCTTTCTCCCCCCACGTAAAAGGGACCCTCTTACGCAGTAAATCAGTGAGCGGGGTTGTTAAGCGTGCCAAGTCGGGGACGAACCGACGAACGTAATTAACAAACCCTAAAAAACTCTGCAGTTCCGTGATGTTTGTCGGGGGATGCCACGCTTTTACGGTATCCAGCTTCTTAGGGATTTAGTTTAGCGCGGATAAAAAGGCAAAATAGTGTTGTGCACCTGTTACGAGTGCAATTGAGTGAACGAACGAGAATTGCACTATCTAAGCAAGAGTACAATGAGCGAAGGCATGAGCGAAGAATATATAGCGAAACTACAGTGGTAACGGTAATGGTCGCGCGACGAGCCTGGGACTGAGGTTGGGAAAATGTCGAAGCGTAGGCCCGGAGCGCGGGTTACCGGCCGAGCCGTGAGGTCGGGATGCGATGTGCGAAAATGGCGGGATGATGAATGATGCGATGGTCGCGAGTGGTAACGGTGCTGACTGAGGTGCTACAGTGATGTACGCGTTGAGCAGGGATGCGAAGTAAGGAAAAGGGAATTTCCTTACAGCACCGTTTGCCTGAGTAGCAACAGAAATGGCTTCCGAGATGATGACACGTGATGAACGTGGAGACGAGTTCTGTGTCAGCGCAATAAGTTTTCTGTCTGGGCCGCCAAACCTTGGAAATTGTGTGTAGGTGGAGACAAAGGTAAGTAGAAAGCGCAGTTTTGGAAAAAGCTCTTCCGCCGTAACTAAAAACCCAGAAAACAAAGATGGACAACGGCTGGCAACAGGGACGTGTGGCGGAGGGAGGTTTTCTTCACTCAACCAAGCTACACCCTTTTTCTCGCTACACTGGCAATGGGATTCACTGTCTACAGTTCGTATTGTTGCTTAAAATGTAGCGGTCTGGTGCTTACAACCGAACTGCAGGTTGGTGACGGGAAATGCTCGCATGGTGAACGGTACACAACGGTTTCCAAAAGGAAACTTGCTTAGGCGTACGGTTGAGTGCGGGAATATGTGCTTATATGGTACGTTCTGGGACCATCCTGGACGCATTGATGTGTGTACATCCGAGTAACCAGTATATCCATTAACAGTGTAGCGCGAAACAGGGTGTACTAGGTTCATTCACAGACGCCATTGATCTGAGCTGAGCCAGCGGCGAAGCGAACCAGACTCGCCGCCACGCCACAGAACCCAACTTCAGATGGCCTGGTCGATGTCGCAACTGTCGGGGAATGCACACTCGAAGCCATTTCCTCGTCGACCATGGACGATCGCTGCCCCAGCAATCGCTCTGTGGTGCGCTCCCTCGGCCGTGTCTCTGAACTGCCCCCGCCGGTCTCTGTCTTAGCTACTATTGAAATCGCCACGTAAGAAGATCTAGTAATTGAAAGGTACCGCTCCGTTGCTCCCGTTACCTCTCCGAGAGGAGATTTTTCCCATTACCCAAGAGCACCCCTCGCCATGCCCACGGGCTTCACTGGCGCGCCAGAGGCGGTGGGGGAGGTTTGGAAAGCTGACTGGTACATCCCCCACTGCTACAAGATCCCCGCATTGGCGCAACTCAACCACCTATTGGCGCAAATCCCCAGCGCGCCCACGCGGAGCGATGTCTGGCACGCGGGGGCCGGCCCCGCGGACCTCCGGCGTTTCCACAACGACCTGGGGGAGGTCGTATCTGAGGCAGAGCTCGCCCAGAAGCAGCTGGGAATCTTCCTCCAGGCCGTGCAGACGACTGCGGCGGGGCTTCAGAAGGAGATCGGGAAGCGCCTCTCGGCGGAGAATCCGTCCGTTTTCCGGAAATGGATTCAGAAGCTTCCTGGATTCGACGACCCGTTGCTTGCGGGAGGGGTAGGCGGGGGCGTGGGGCACGACGGTTCGCACAGCAGGAGCAACAGTAACAGTAGCGGGGGCGCCGGGAGCGGCGGGAACGGCAATGCGGCGTGCGGGAAGCTGACGGACGGCAGCAATGCGTCGTCGCCAGCGAATAAGGTCAGCAGCGACTCGCCACGCGACGACAGCGCACCGACTCTGCAGCCGTCGAAAGTCGCCCTTGCGAATCGCATGCGATCGAAATCCATGAACGTAGTGTCGTCGGGGTCGCTCTTTCGATCGCCGGACGACAGCAGCGTCGCCAAGCCTCTAGGCCCGGAAGTTTCACCCATCTTCGCCTCGACAGGTCTGACCACACCTGGTAGTAATGGCTCTGGCGCAGGCTCGGGTGCGGGCGGCTCGGCGACGCGGAAAATGTTCACCCGCGCGTTTTCCGTGCGCGAGCGGCCGTCTGCCGTGTCGGGGGGGGACGGCGGCGGGAACAGCGTCGGAAGCGGCGGCGGAGGCGGAGGGGGTTTCCTAGACGCGTGTGGGTTCAGTCCCGTGTTACTGCGCGCAAGGAATGCGGGGAGGGTCGGGCCTGTGGGGGAACACGAGGGGGAGGGGGCGGGTGACACACCCGCCATGGGGCTCGGCGGGGGGAACGGGGGGAATGGGGGGAACGGCGGAGTGAATGGAGGGGGGAACGGGGGAAACGGAGGGCGTGACGGAGGCAATGGCGCGGGAAAGGTGGGCGGAGTGGCAGCGTGGGCAACACCGAGTGGAATTGGAAACGAGAATGCCGCGTTCCCTGTAATCACCGAAGCTCAGCAGCAGCAGGTGCCGCAGGGGCCGCTTGCAGCATCCTCGCCGCTACATCCGCCGCGCCAGCCAGCCTCAGAACGCCACTCGGGACCGCTGTTACACGGCACGGGCCAAATCCCAGATTCGCACGCTGATGCAGCGCGGAAAGGACCTGCAGAAAAGCAGCCAAGTGCGAAACCGAGCGGTTCGTCTAGTAAGGTCGGAATCAGCGGGCTGCTATTCAGAAGCCGCAGCTCCATAAGTGGCAGCCACCGCTGGACGCAGTCGCAGCAGCAGCAGCTGCAGCAGCGGGTAGCTGAAGAGGAGGAGGAGGGCGGGGAGCAGGAAGAGCAGGAGAGAGGGCGCTTGAGCCCATCCAGTGGCCATAGGATCGAGGGTGGCGCGTCAGGGAAGGGAACATCAGCGTCCAGGAGGGTGGGGGGGCCAAGGCTCACCAAGAGCCGGTCAGAGAAGGCGCCTAGCAGCGCTATGGGAGGGGCGAGGGGAGGGGCGCGCGGAGGAAAGAGCGGGCACGAGCGGCTGCAGGAGATTCTCAGCAGCGTGGGCAGCGGGTGGGGCGGACTGCCTTTAACCTCGTCGTTGAGTGGTGGCAGTGTTAGCTCGAGTGGCAGCGGCTTGCGGGGGGGTAGTCTGGTGTCTCGGAGCGCTACTGTAAGTGGGGCGGGACCGGCGTTGGGAGGCATGATGGGGCCGGCTGGCAGGGCTTCTGTGATTGGCAGTGCGGGTGGCAGCATGAGTGGCAGCATGAGTGTGAGCGTGATTGGTAGTGCAGGAGTCAGTCCACGGGGCCCGGCCAACGAAAGATTTGCCTTCTCCCACCTGCCCCAAGCCCATAGACTCTCTCTTGCTTCCCAATCCCAAGACTCCTCTTCCAGTGATTATGCCATGTCTCCGTATGGGGGAAGTGACAGAGGGGGGGTGCAGGCAGAGAGGGGAAGGGAGCAGGAAGGAGGAAGTGGGGTGCTGCAGGGCAGCAGGGTGCTGCTGTCGCCAGCCAAGGCAGCGCAGGAGGAGAAACTGCTGGAGATGCTGCGATCCACACCGCCTGTTCGGTGGGACAAGCCGGGTCAGGCTGGAAACTACACCAATCAGACCCAGAGTTAGCAGCATCTGATGACTGTGGCTTGGAGAAGCAAGGATCCACATCTGTTCCAGCACCGAGATAATGTGGAGCAGGTGCAACAGCCATGGAAATTGATAGGGTCCTTGAGCAATAACTATAATGGCTTGTGACGTTGACATTCAATATGCCCGTTGATTCTGTGTCTGTATGATATGTTTCCCTACTTAGGTTTTACCAAAGAATGAGATTTTGTACTGAAATTGCAACGTGTGCATTTGGAGTTAGGCTAAAATTTGAATCAACAATCAATTCTAAACGTAGTGGTGTGAGGATTGAGTTCTACAACGTAATCAGTGATGCTGTGATGTGGAGGGAAGCAGTCCAGTAAGGTACGGTATCTTGAATTTGAAGAGGAATAGGTATGACAGGTTCTAGTGACCTTGATTAGCTATCAATTGAATCGATCCCAAGACTGTAGAAGCTTTATTCATGAGTTTGTTTCTAGAAGTTCTGTCTGGACCTATTTCCGCGATGCCCAAAAATCCCTCCGAAGCCAGCCCCACCCGATCTCTTTACACCTGCACACCGCACCACATCCCCATAATTTCCAGTGCCTGCCTCACGTTGGCCCTGCCGCTACGCGATTTTCCCCGTTTCGCTGCCTACTTGTGTTCTATCTTCAACTTCTCCAGACCCTTTTCCTTAATTTCTCTTGGCTAGGGACGTCCTGCCAGGATGAGTCACAGGAAGTTCGAGCATCCGCGCCATGGTTCTCTCGGCTTCTTGCCCCGGAAGCGGTGCAAGCGCTCACGCGGGAAAGGTAGTCTCCTGACCGATAATCCGTAGGAAGCTCATTTCCGTTCACAGTTCCGACATTAAAGCCTACCGTTCATTTTGTCCCTCGGATAGTATAGACCAGGTCTCACGCACCGGTGCAGAGTCACCGCTGGGTCGCTGATTTCGTCTACTGAAGCTGTCGTGTGCTCCGTATGTGCGTGGCGTTGTCCGTGTTGCGTGTTGGCAGTGAAGGCGTTCCCCAAGGATGACCCCACCAAGGCTCCCCACCTGACGGCGTTCCTGGGCTACAAGGCGGGCATGACGCATATCGTCCGCGAGGTCGAGAAGCCCGGCTCCAGTACGTCGCCTCTCTTCGCTTCTAACATAGTTTTCGCAATGTTGCTCACAGATTAGGGCTGAATCCGCACCTCCCCTCCACGATCTCAAAATCGTGTGTTCCCGCATACCCTCCTTAGCTGCTGCTTCATGTTCGACGTGCTCTCAGTTTATGCCTAACATATAATCGTCCGAACGTCCCCTCTCAACAGGGCTGCACAAGAAGGAGGCTGCTGAGGCCGTCACCATTGTCGAGACCCCCCCCATGATCGTCTGCGGTCTCGTCGCGTACGTGAAGACCGCGCACGGCCCGCGCACGCTCACGCACGTGTACGCCGGGCATCTGAGCGACAACGTCCGTCGCCGGTGGTACAAGAACTGGCACAAGTCGAAGAAAAAGGCGTTCACCAAGTACGCTAAGAAGTTCAGCACTGACGAGGGCAAGAAGGAGATCGAGGAGGAGCTGGAGCGCATGAAGAAGCACGCGTCGATCATCCGCGTCATGGCGCACACCGAGGTGCACAAGCTGAAGGGAATCAAGCAGAAGAAGTCGCATCTGATGGAGATCCAGATCAACGGCGGCACGATCGAGGAGAAGGTCGACTGGGGTTACAAGCTGTTCGAGAAGGCCGTGCCGATCGATGCCGTGTTCCGCAAGGATGAGATGATTGATGTCATCGCCATCACCAAGGGTCACGGTAACGAGGGTGTGGTGCACCGTTGGGGTGTTACCCGCCTGCCTCGCAAGACCCATCGTGGTCTGCGCAAGGTCGCCTGTATCGGAGCGTGGCATCCGGCTCGTGTGCCGTACACCGTGGCGCGCGCCGGTCAGAACGGTTACCATCACCGCACGGAGCTCAACAAGAAGATCTACAAGATCGGAAAGAAGGGCGACGAGAGCCACAAGGCCAGCACGGAGTACGATCGCACCGACAAGGAGATCACCCCCATGGGAGGCTTCGCGCAGTACGGTGTGGTGGGCGAGGACTACATCATGATCAAGGGGTGCTGCCCCGGCGTGCGCAAGCGCGTGCTGACGCTGCGCCGGTCGCTGCTGAAGCAGACGTCGCGCAATGCGCTGGAGGAGGTGAAGCTCAAGTTCATCGATACGTCCTCCAAGTTCGGCCACGGTCGCTTCCAGACGTCCGACGAGAAGGCAAAGTTCTTCGGCCGCACAAAGGCGTAAAGCGGCTCTTGCGGGCATGGGGCTTGTGTGGAGGTATGCACTGTGCCTTGTGTGCAATTTGCGTTCTTGGTTGACTTTCTTGCTGGTCGTTCTGTGCCTTTTTGTTGAACCCTTTTATTTCATTGATAGTCCTGGAAGCATCAAATCATGTTATTTCCTACTCTCAAGTGACCTGTTCTCATTTTGGGAGGGGCTTGCGGCTCCTCCGAGCGTCCTGCCTTGTGTTTGTGTCGTCTCTGGTTGATTGTGTGTATGTTGGGAAGGCAGGGCCGCGAAGATGCTTGATGCGTCATGGCACGTGGCTTGGGCCGCTGGTACTGTGCCCAGCGGTTGAAGGAGAGCAAGCCCTACCATTGCCATGCCTTGGACTTGGTGGGATGGTTTGGGCTTGCTTCTCTGGGCGCCCTGCACCACTGCCATGCCCTCTGCCTTCCCTTAGTTTCTTCACGAGGCAATGTTGGCTAGAGGGTACTTGGTTTTGGATATTTGAGAACAGGAATGTCGGGTATTAATAATTCAACCATGCTATTAATGTTCCTGTCCACATTGTAGCTTAGGCATGTACTATATCGTTTCACAACATTATCCTTATTTTAATTGTATTATGAGGCCAGCAGTTTTCTGCCAGCCCGTAAAGCGCAAAAATTATGCCGCCCATATGTCTTGATTTCCATACGGCACAAGGTGTAGATACACGTCGTGTGGCATCTTCGCCAGTCGGCCCTTTTATGACCTCAATATTGTCACGCGGCTGCCTATTAGCAAAAGAAAGAGTGCGTTTATTATTGCCTTGTGGGACCATGTCGTCGATCACTTACTGTGGTCTCTTCTCACATCAGGATCATCGATACCTCACTAATTGCCACGTGCGGTCCGGTTACACAAGACTAAAGTGATGTCGGAGGCTTGGAATAAGCGCCTTGAGCTTTTGGCAGGGTAGGCAGGAAAACTCAATGCGAGCAAACGTGCCATCATCATGAATACATGTGAAGCTATGGAACCGAGTCATGTTCAAGCTTCCTTAGCACCGCGAAGGATTGTGATCGATGACGTACTCAGCCCGCGTGAGTGCAAGGTGGGTGGTATTACGCGTCTCGCACTCACACCCGCTCCTTCCCTTCTGCTGCGCGGTAACGAGATTTCAGCCGTATTCCATCTCGTTTTTCCATCATGCGAATCAAGCCACGCTTCTCTTACCCGCATACGCCCCCGGCCCTCACAATCCAAAATCTCGCGTTCCTTCGCGCCGCAGCAGCACGGTGGGGTACTCACCGCATGTAATCCTGATAGCACGCACCGTCTTCCGAACTCAGAAGCTCCTGGCTGTGCTTCCCCTTGGTCTTCCAAACCAGGAACTGGCGTTCATTCACGCCAGCAGCAGCACCGTGGGGTACCGACCGCATGTGCGCTCCACCACGCTCGCTCATCTCATTGCCACCAACTGCGGTCCCTTCATGCTCCCCATCCTCCCCATTCGAGGTACCCTTGTACCAGTCACTGGAAAGTCAGCTGACTTGTATCGTCCTTCCGTGGTCGCCTCAGCGCTTCTTGCCTTGTTTAGATTCCAAATAACCTTCTCGTTCTTCTGTGTGGCGCAATGTTGGCCGAACATGACAGTACTGTGTTACCGAGTATAACCGGTATCTAGGCCACGTGTGCCTGCAGTCCGTTACAAGTGTACTTAGCATCTATCTGACACGAATTGGTCCTTTGTGCGTGCATGCATGGCAGATCGCATTCGGGACAAGGTGGAGGAGGCATTCGGCATGCAGCTGGGGCTGCTGGTGGAGTTCACGGGGATCATCAGCTGGCTGCCTGGCGCCACCATTGGCTGGCATGCTGACGACAACCGGCCCTACCTCAAGCAACGCGCATTCGCTGTAAAACACTCCCCTTTTACTCGTCGCAACCACCCCTCGCGTCCTGTAGCATATAGGGTTTTGCTTTGACGTGTCTGCTACTGTGCCTGTTGGGCTGGGCTATTTTCACACAGTCCCTGTGCTCCGTTTGGGCCTGCTCCGCTACTGCTCTACTGTGATGGTACTTGTGTGTGCCTCCTGTTCGTCCCTCAGTGCGCACAAGTTCGTTCTCATGCGTCGCAGGCAGTGTGTTATCTGAACGAGTATGGCAAGGACTTCGATGGAGGTCTTTTCAGGTTTCGACAGGGCCATCCTCACACTGTCGCTCCCAAGCCCGGGGTGAGTGCATTGCAAGTGGAATGCTTGTGGTGATATGGACACCCACTGCCTGACATGTGCTACTCCATTTGCGGCCATACAATTCTCCATGATATGTGGCCCTGGACGCGTGCCAGGTCTGCTTCTTATGTCAGTCTGTATTTTCATCCTGTGTTTCGTCTCTCATATGGTCGCAGCGACTCGTGGCATACTCGGCTTCAGGGGAGAATGAGCATTGCGTTGATCCTGTAAGATGGGGATGCTCATGATTGAGGGGAGGGGGGAGGCACAAGGAGGGGAACAGGCATCTATGTCAAAGGCACATTAAAGATCAGCAATATACACATTGTACTCAGAATATTACACTATTGGCCCATGCTTCAGTTCCATGGTCTCTGAACATGTTTAATGCCTCTCTTGATTGTCTGGGAACAAAAATAGCTTCTTGACGTTTTCTTGCTTCTTGGCAGGTGATTCGAGGTCAACGCCTCACCCTCACTCTCTGGTTCACACTCGATCCGTCACACAGTGAAGACCTCTCCCTCCTCACCCTCCTCTCTCGCATCCCCCTCTCCCTCCACCATCCCTTCCCTCGCATTACCCTCAACCCCCCTCCCACGGGGGATGTGGGACCTGGGAAGGGCCCTGAAGCTGGCAAGAAGGCCGAAGTGGAAGCTGTATCTGAGGACAGGGGCGTTAGGCAAGTGGTATGTGGGGCGAACCAGCAGCACTTGGCATCTGATGGGCTTGGACAAACAGGTTTGGGGGAGCTGAATGGGGGGGCGTCAGAGGGGAATGAGAAAGAGGGGAGCGGAGGGGATGGAGTGATGGAAAGGTCAAAGAGGAGGCGCGTTTGCAGATCATCATTCTCGCCCTGTGGCTGTGAGGCCGTGACATGTGTGCATGTTGACAGGGAAGCTGGCAATGAGGCAGTGCTGGTGCCCATACCGCTTGTGGCGTCTAATTCTCTGTATCTCGTGCAGAAGGAAGGGCAGGGGAAACTGGGAGAGGGGGAGGATGGTGAAGTGGAAGGAGGAGAGAAGCAGGGAGGGAGCGAGGGTGGCAGGGAGGGGCAGGGAGAGGGAGAGGTTGATATACGGATACAGGAGCTAGCCAGTATGGGATGGAAGGCTGTTCCATTTCTTCAAAGCAACTGCAATGCCACGATGCAGTCACCTCCTGGAAGTGATGGCGCAGGGTTAGTAAAGACAGAGTCTGAGTGGGTGGCGTTAGTCCCTAGTCCCAGTCCGAGAAGAGACGAGACAAGCCCCTGCCTTCAATGTCCGGTTTCAGAACTAGGAAAGGATGGAAAAAAAGCAGGAGAGGTGGAGAAGGATGTGGCAGGGGGGAAGGAGAGGCAGGGGCATGAGGCCGGAACTCGTCAAGAATGCATTGGTGGTGATTATCGTGAGGAGTGTGATAGCAGAGGGGGAGGAGGGCGAGGGGACTCCGTTGGGGAAAAAGCACGTGTCCTGGCGTCACCGGTTGTGTTCTACAATATTCTGCATGCTTTACAGGTATGCTGCTCTTGAGAGCGGGGATGTGTGTGTGTGGTGGGGATGGGGGGAGGGTGGGGAGGGCAGGATGTAAGGGGGAGACTGGGAGGGCAGGGGGGGAAAGGGGGGAAGGGAGAGAAAGGGGTGGTTGGGGACTGAGAAAGGATTTGATTGAATGAGGCGGAGTTCAGCAGTTCGGTAGAGCCTTATTGTCCTCCCGCTGTCCTTGTTGGCCGTGTGCAGGTGGCGGCCTTCCTCAAGTGGCAGATTAATTTGAAAGCGAAAGGAAAAAATTACAACTGTGGCAGATGCGAACAATGTCTAATGGATTCTCAATGTAGACTGAACAATAAGCAGATATTGTTGGTAGACGCTAAGGAGGCGTGGATAAGGTACATAAGGGGTCTCACCAACGATTTCCAAGAATCTATACCCAAGTGGCAGACCCATCAACTTCTGTATGACTGCCTGTAACCTTGATGCTCAGACCTTTTACACTGCAGTTCAACCAGCTTTGTAAAAGTAGCAATACAATCCTCCATGTGCAAACCTTCATCACGTCAGACTGACAAGCTCCATTGTAAACAACATTCGAACGGCTGCTATTTACGTACCCCACAAAGTACTAGTAGCTCGCGCATCCTCTCTTTGGGGCACCTGCCAGATGGACGAAGAGCATGGCCAATTTCTGCCTGTGAGATTCGTTCTTTCCGCTTACGCTTGTACAGCTTGCCCGCAGTGGGCCGTTACCTGGGCGTAATTTAGTTTCCCGATGATTGATTCCAGGCTTGCTATTGGCAGGAAGTCGTCATGGGGCTCTTCAGACATGTGTACGCAGCGGACGCGCGCTCGCAGGTTTGTTCCTGGCCTTTTCGTTCTCGAGTAGAGGATTCCGCCTCTCAGTTTTGCACAGAATGTGACGTCAAGGTACACCGCCGTATGGCAGGCTCAGCCTCCAGGTTCAACGTCAGGGCAAGAGGGCGAGGATAGGACCAGCCTTGATCGTATAGCTGCTCCGTTTGAGTCCCCTCAAGGACTCGTCAGAAGCTCAGGAGACGCAGCGTCATTGGAGGATGATATCGCTCTTGCAAATCCGCTTGTTGGGTCGGCTGAAGCAAGTGACGAGCGGAGGGAGGTCGCAGAGAATGGTGGTGACGCAGCAGGGCAACGGAAGAAACGAAAGAGACAGTCCGCCGCGGGTCTGGGAGCAGGAGCCATTGCTCTCCCCAGTAGGCATCTCTACCATCTGCCTGCAACTTCCTGCAATGCTGTGCTGGTGTTATTTGATGCGGGAAGCATGTCATTGGGTGGGATGACCATGATACATACAGAACTTACCTCTTCTGCTGTGCCCTCCCCTTATCGTCTTGGCAGTAACCAAACCAGCTCAACGCCTTTGTTGTGGTCTTCTTCGACTATTTGTTCAGGGTGAGCTGCATGTCCTTTACCACCGTTCAGGACAGGACAAAGTATAACCCTCCGCATTATGAAGCTCATGATTGTTGTTCTGGGTTGTATTTTTGGTACTGCAGAAGCAGTTGGTCGTGCAACAGAGCAGGCAGAGGTGGAAGGTTCCACTGAAATTGAAGGAACTCACTTAGAAAGGATTCTTCCAAAGCTGCTCTTGGACTTCTGAGTGCCATGCCAAGCTGCAGCTTATGAAGCATTTTTAAGCCCCAGCCAGGCTTGTACCGTACTTAACATTCCAGCAGCGACATGAGTTGGATTCGAAACCATTGTGAACATGAAGTGGCAGCAGCAAGCCTGAGAGATACACTCAGAATCTTCATGAACCGACATATGAACAGCCTGCATACATGAATGATCTTATCGTGATAAGAATCTTCTAAGCACAAATGCTGCATTCTGCAGTATATCTTTTACAATGACCATCACATTCCAGCAGCAGTAAGGAATTTAATGCTTCACTGTTGTCACAAGATCAAGAAGCATCCCAGTAACCTGCAAATCAGCTCAACAAAATGGTGTTTATTTCAGCAAAAAGAAAGATGCGACAGAACGAAAGACGGATGAATGGCACATTAACTAAGGTTTTTTTTTTTTTCGAAAACTCACATCTTTCGACACATTGCCCGCTTCCTTAGTCAGCTGATCAATCTTCTGCCTCGTTTGCACCTCCAGCCGCTTCACAGTCGCTTCCGAGTCGCCTGACGTCTAAGGACACAGACAAACAAACATGTATCAGACGCGCTAAAACTGATCAACCGACAGCAGGCGCCTGCATACAGACACAGTGGGTCAATGCAACGCCACGGCGAAGTAACACTTACCCCGGCCTTTTTCTTCCTGTACTCCTCCTCACGCTGAGCGCGGTAAGCAGCGGCTTCCCTCTCCGCTTCCTCCTTCGCTTGCCTCAACCTGGCAGTTTTGGCTGGAAGATTAAATAGTAAACAAAATGGTAGTGAGGAAAATAGTACGTGATCCGAAACTGAAGGAGACCAGGAAAGGATCCTGTGAGACAGGGGGACTATTTTCTACTCGTTGCATCGTGAGTGAAAAGCTTCGAACCGCAGAAACTAGCGGCTCACCTGCACGAGCTGCAGCTACGACCTTCTGGGCTTCTTGCTCTGCCGCTAAAAGAAGCTGAATGCCTCCTTCCCGAGACGACGAACCATCCATGGCACCGGATCTATTGAGAATGACCACGCAGGGAGGAGCTAGTGCCTCCTTTAGTGAAGCAAGCAGTGCAGGAATGTCTGTTGAGCTGATCACAGAAGCTAGGGTAACGCGGACTGCCAGTCAGAATGCCAGGAACAGCAGCGAAAGCACGTACAGCTCGAAAAAGCCAACACGGACAAGGGCGGGTTGAGCAAGGGAATGAAGAAATCTCGATACTGCCGAGATTTGTGGTGGAACAATTTGCATGTGCAATAACACTATACAATGAATTTGGCGAAGTTCCTCACTTATCACAATTATTTAGTATTGGTACGGTACTAGAAAACTTGTCAATTGCATTTACTTTAGATACGGATCACATTCGCACACGCCATCTACATACTATCTTTAGAATGTACCTACTTATTATACCAAAACTCGTGTCCAAACTCATGTCCTCTGTCTCTCAATCCATCCACTTCAATGGATCAATTGCCCCCTTGTGCTTCCACGATAAGCATCGGGAAATGAAGTTCTGAAGGGCCGGTTTGCTAACAGGCTTGCTCAAGTAAGAGTTCATGCCAGCAGCCTTGCACTCGGACTCTATCCCAGACCCCACATCTGCTGTCAGTGCTGCCACCACCGGCTGCTGCTCTGGTGGCAGCTCCCTCTGAAGGAAAGAGTGAAAATGGAGGGAGAGAGAAGAGAAGCACGGATGAGGTCGACATGTGCCTCAACTGTTCAAGCAAGACAGTTGAGGCACAGAGAAAGACTGAAATGCTCATGCATGTCTGAATTTGAACGGAGAGCGGTGAGGAGCAGTTGAGAGCGGTGGAGAGGGGTTGTGTGGGTTACTCTGAGGCAGGCGGTGGCAGTGAGGCCGTCCATCTCGGGCATCTGCACGTCCATGAGCACCAGATCCACTGTCACCTGCCGCAGCCGCTGCATCACCTGGTGGCCCCATGCACACGCAGTGCCACCGCCAGGGGGGTGGGGGAAAGGGAGAGAGGAATCAGACAGCAGCGGTGGAGCGTAAAGGGAAGCCGTGTAGCAGTGCAGCAAGGTGTGTAGAAGCAGAGGGGCAGTGGTGAACAAGGGAGTACCTCGAGTCCGTTGATGGCAGTGTAGCACGACCTCACCCCGATGCCATTCAGCAGCTTCAGCAGCACCTGCACCCCCCCATGCAAGGCAATTTCGCACACAGTAGAGTGTCAGTACCGGCCCACATGCACACACGCCTGGCAACAAACAGCACCTGTGTTCAGCGTGCACACTGGAACAACCATCACACAGCGGGCGGGCAGAGCGCAAAGTGACACCAGTCGCCACAAGCACGCACGCGCTGGTTGACGATGTTGTCCTCCGCGATGAGCACCTGCAGGTCCCCCGGGCGTGGGCTGGACCGCTCCGCCCGCACCACGCCCAGCGGCATCGGCTCCTTCACCACCGCCACCCGCAGTGCCGCCACGTCCCGCGCCACCGCCTTCGCCACCTCCTCCGGCGCCGACCCTGCTGCCGGACCTGGGGTTGTTGCGCGGGATGGGATGGTGTAGGGGAGGTGTGAAGCGCGGGTTTGGTGTGAGGGGCGTGAGGTAGGGTGTGGTGGGGTGGGGATGTGTGGTGATGAGTGAGCAGGGGTGGAAGACTACAAGGCAGGAATTGACAATGACTGGTATGGGTGCTTGCATGGAAGAAAAGAAGAGCGGTTGCATGCAGTGCAGGCTAGACCTGACCGTACCTGCCGTGGAGGGCAGATTTGCGCGTACCTGCAGTGGAGGGTAAACCTGGGCGTACCTGCCGTGGAGGGTAGACCTGACCGTACCTGCCGTGGAGGGTAGACCTGACTGTACCTGCCGTGGAGGGCAGATTTGCACGTACCTGCAGTGGAGGGTAGACCTGACCGTACCTGCCGTGGAGGGCAGATTTGCACGTACCTGCAGTGGAGGGTAGACCTGACCGTACCTGCCGTGGAGGGTAGATCTGGGCGTACCTGCAGTGAAGACAGAGGTGGGGATGGAGGCGGGCAGGGAGGCGAGGGCGGCGGAGGAGCAGCCAGCGAAGGAGGAGGGCACGGAGATGCCCGACAGCCCTGCCGGCCCCGGTGACGGCGACACGGCGGACGGCGCTGGTCGCAGGTCCAAGGGCTCCTGCACGGGGCAAGGGGCGTGGGGCAACGGTGGAGGGACGAGGTGAGACGGCGGAGGGGGAGGGGGAATGGAGAGGTGAAAGGGGCGAGGGGGGAAGATGGGGGAGGAGCGGAGAAGGAGATGGTGGAGGGGCTGCGATACTGTACACTTCATGCGATAGTGTACACTTCATGCGATAGTGTACACTTCATGCGATAGTGTACACTTCATGCGATAGTGTACACTTCATGCGATACTGTACACTTCATGCGATACTGTACGCTTCATGCAATACTGTACGCTTCATGCGATACTGTACGCTTCATGCGATACTGTACGCTTCATTAGTCATACCACTACCAGGTATTGAGAACAATTACACTGTACGGGATGCAGTATGGTGTGAGAGAGGGGGAAGGGACTAGGGACTGAAGAGGGGTAAGGGACAAGGGACGAGGGTCTAGAGACTCACGTCGAAGAAGGCGGGGGTGTCGTAGCGGGGGGAGTCGGGGACAGCAGGGAGGGTGGCGAGGGCGGAGGGGGCGAGGTACTGGATGAGGTGCTTGTACAGCTGGTTCACGCGCACTGGGCGCGACAGCACCGCCACCTTGCGCTGCCAACATTCGATAAGGGTGGGGGGCGAGAGGAAGGGGAAGCGAGGGGGGAGTGAGGGAGAAGAGAGGATGAGGGGAGAGGCAATGCTGTTGTTGTTCACTCGCACATGCACTGACAGGATGATGCAATGGAGGATGAGAGGGGCAGGGAGAGAACATCCAGAAGCAGAATACTGCGGGAAGAGGTGGAGCAAGCAGTGGAGGGAGCAGCACAAACAGGGAGGGCGGAACCGAAAGCAACTGCTGCTGGGCCGCGAGTAAACCCACTTTTGGGCTGCAACCAAGTTTTTTCTAACTGCCAGCAAGGCTCACCAGGAGCGCGGGGTCGAAGGGCAGTTGGCGCTTGGAGTGTTTGGAGAGGAAGAGGAAGGTGGGTGCAGTGCTGGCACACGCACACCCCAGGTGCATCATCAGCAGCGCGCGCTCCTGCTCATGCTGCGCCGCCAGCGCCAATGCCAACGCTCCTCCCCCTCCGTACCGCCCTTGTCCGCCAGTCCCTCGGCTGTTGCTCGTGACTGCTGGTCCGTCTACAAGCACCACGTCGAAGCGCTGCACTTGCCGCGCCTGCACCCGCGCCAGGAACGATAGGTCCTCCCCGCCCCGCTTCTTCCGCTCGTTCCCCTCCCTTTCCCCTCCGCCCTCCACTTGCTGTTTCCCACGCCCACCTCCTTCCTCCCTCTCTTTCCCCCCATCGCCATCACCATCACCATCACCATCACCATCCTCCTCCTCCTCATCGTCCTCCTCAGATGGTGCTTGTTCAGACGAGCCTCCTCCCTCACCCCTCCCTGAAAACACCCCTCTGGGCGTACTCATGGCCCTGGGATACCCCTTCCCCCTCTCCTCCCCTCCCACTCTTCCCACCGCGCCCTTCTTCCCCCCCTCACTCCCCGCACCGCCCTCCCCATCCGCCCACCCAAACAACGGCAGATCGCTCCAACTGCCCGACCGGTACACCTTGAGCAGGCTCTTCTGCTGCTCCTTCTCGCTGCACCCCGCCGCGCGCCCCAGCCCACCCTCCTCGCCCGTCCACTGGTCCCAGAAAGCATCCACGGTGCGCACAGCAGTGCACGACACACCCCACGCGGCCAGCATGGACCCTAACATGCGGTGGAACGTGGCCGGTACACCCACCAGCAGCGCGTGCTTGCCCGTGAGAGGGGTGATTGGGGGAGTGAGGAAGAGCGTGTGTAGGGGTGACGGGGTTGGAGCAGCGTCGGAAGGGAAGGGTGTGAGGGAGGGCTTGTCGCTCTCGGATCTCTGTAGGGCGGAGGGCGCTGAAGGATCAGCGTCGAGTGAACCAGGCTGACCCGGGCTGCCCTGTGCTGCAGCGGACGAGTCAGTAGCAGCAGCAGCGGCGGTGGCAGATGGGACGGTATTGGCCCGGGGGAAAGGTCGGGGCGAGCGCGATGTGGGGGAGCGAGGAGGCACGGCAGCGGAGAGAGAGACCGGGGGGATGGCAGTGGTAGCAGAGGTTGGGGAGGCGGGTGAGGGGGTGGAGGAGGAGGTGGGCAGCAGCAGCTTCCCTCTGCGGCCAGTGGGCGTGGTGGGAGCAGCAGCAGCAGCCGCCACAGCAGCCGCAGCAGCACCATCCCTTCCCTTCCCTTCCCCACCACCACCAGCACCAGCACTGCCGCTGCTCGAAGCAGTAAGGGACGCGGAGGCCTGATTGGCGAGCAGAGAGGGCAGCATGTTGGAGGCTTCGACCATGCTGCCGTGGGCGTGGATGGTGAAGTGGAAGGTGGAGCCCCTGCCCAGCTCCGTGTCCACCCAGATGCGCCCCCCCATGCGCTCCGATAGGTCCTTGGCTATCGCCATGCCCAGCCCCGTGCCCTCGTACCGCCTCGTGCGCGAGTTGTCACACTGTGTGAACGCCTGGGGGAGGGGAAAAGAAAGCGGGGTGGGGGGGCAGGGGGGAGGGAGCAGGGGTATGGATGGGGTTGCTGTTTAGACTGAGTGAACGCCACAGGGCAGTGAGGACCAAGGGCAGGGGAGAGGGGAAGGCAGGGTAAGTGGGGGGGTTGTAGAGGAGGGCAGGCGAGAGGGGCTTGCCTCGAAGATGACGGAGGCGAACTCAGGCGGCATGCCGATGCCCGTGTCGCGCACTGAGAACTGGATCTCAAACCACGGCAGCACCCGCCATGCCTCCTCCTCCCCCTGCTGCTGCTGCTCCCCCTCCTCCCGCTCTGTGAGCACACAGCATGGGGCACACACAGTGGGAACAGGGGAAAACGCCTTATGGATGGGATGGGATGGGATGGGATGGTTTGGCATGGGATGGGATGGGATGGGATGGGATGGCTGGGAGAAGCTTGAAGCACCTCACAACATCATCGTAATTCATGAAGACCAACCGCATGACACGGCACATCACCACCAATCACTGCGCTTCACCGCGCATCACCACGCATGACCGCACGTCACCGAGGGGAGTGACTGACCGGGGTCGGGGAGCAGAGTGGCGGAGACGGAGACCTCGACCTGGCCGCCCTCGTCCGTGAACTTGGCCGCGTTGGACAACAGGTTGGTGAGGATCTGCCTCAGCCTCACCTCGTCCGCCCATATCCACCTGCCCAGTTCCAACGCCCCATGCAAGCAGCACGCACCACACACAGCACAGCATGTTCAGTCTTCAGTGGTAGCCAATATGCAACCTGATCATTCTTTGCTGCCACTATCTGATGTGTACGATGTGCTCCCATACCACACACGGATTGCTTGCTGCTGCTCCGGTTTACTCTGCACATAAGATAGCAGGTTTTACCTGCTGGGCCTGCCAGGCAGTTAGCTAAAATTAATAATTCCCTGGACGGCCTGTCGATGCACGCAAAAACACACAGCCTCCAGGGTGAGCTTGCAAGGCAAGCAAACAAGGGCACTCACTGCGGCACGGAGGGGTCAACATTGTAGGAGAGGTCGAGCCCCTTGCGCTGGGACTTGAGCACGAGCAGCTCCATGCAGAAGTCCAGACACGCCCACAGGCTCACCTCCCTCTCATGCATCTCCATCTTCCCCGCGTCCAGCTGCCACAGGGGAGAGGGGAAGAAGTGGTAGGGGGAGGAGGGAGCATGGGGCAGGAGGGGGAGAGGGCAGACGGCCCAACAGTAAGCAGATGCCACCTGCACCACCTTAACGACCTGAACCACCTTGACGCACGTGACGTGACGTTGTGCTGCGGAGCTCAGCAGAGAGACGTACCTTGGAGAAGTCATGGATTGTCGGTGATGAGGGAGAGCAGCTGCTGGCCCGCGCCGGAGATCATGTGCACCAGCTCCACTTGGTCTTGTCAGGTTGGGCGCGTCTGCAGCAGCTGCCCTGCCTGTCTGCCTGAGCTACCAAGCCTACAGGAAGCAGGTAAGGCACTCACTTTGGAGAAGTCGAGAATGTCGGTGATGAGGGAGAGCAGCTGCTGCCCCGCGCCGGAGATCATGTGCACCAGCTCCACCTGGTCCTGGGTCAGGTTGGGCGCGTCCTGCAGCAGCTGGGCGCACGCCAGCACGGCGTTCATGGGCGTGCGGATCTCGTGGCTTATGTTCGCCACGAACTGCCTCTTGGCCCGCATGCTCGCCTCCCTCTCCACCTCCGCCATCTGCATGTGAGTACAGCACAACAGGGAGCGAATGGAGGTGAATGGAGGACGGGAACAAGGGGGCGAGCGGAGGGGGCGAATGGAAGGAGCGATAGCGGGGAAGAGACGCGAGAGAAGAGGCATATGGGAGGAGGAGATGCTGTGGGTGAAGTCACCCTCTCGGACCTGGGCACAGCTGGCTCATAAGACTCCACTGAGTCACAACCCGCCGTGCCCTGCCACTTCTCCATCACTGCCACCCACCTTCTCCCCTGCCCATCCCCCCCATTCTTCTCTCCCATCTTCCCTGTTCCCCCATGGCCGGCACTCACACGCATGCTCTCGAGCTGCCACTCGTTCTCCTTGCGCGCCGTGCAGTCCGACAGAATGCCAAAGTAGTACCTGCCACACAGGAGGGGGGGCACATACAGCGGGGAATACACTTGGAGGGTTGCACATGGTGGGGGGACACTTGGCAGGTTAAGCATGCATGGATACGCACACACCATCAAACACATGCACGCCACACACAGCCTCACCTCTGGTTCTTATCGGTCGGCAGGAACGACGACCCCGGCGGCACGGGATGAATGCGCAGCCAGTTCCAAAACGGTGTGCCGTCCCGCTTGTAATTCATCAGCTCCACAGAAGCAGACCCGCCGGTCTCAACAGCCTTTCTCATAGTCTCAACAGCGGTCATGTTAGACCCTGGGCCCTGCAGGATGGAGCCGCAGTGCAGCCCGACGACGTGCTCGATGGAGTAGCCCGTGATCTCCTCCCACCCCTCATTCACAAACACCACCGGCTGCCGCGGCTGCGACACGTCCACCAGCACGAGCCCCTCGCTGAAGGCGTCTATGGCGAGCAGCAGCCCGCGCTTGTCCTCCTCAAACTTGTCCGCTTGCTGCCGCTGCACCTCTATCTCCTGGCTGTGCTTGTCCATCTCCTGCCCACGCCACGGCAGGGGGGAACAGCGCAGGAAGGGGGAGGGGAGGGAAAGCAGAGAGGCTGGTAAGAGGGACGGTTTCAAGATGCAGTGCGTGGAGCAGCAGACTAACTGATGAGCGCGCGGAGAAGGGAGTGAGGGAGGGTAGAGAGGAAGAGGAGGGAAGCAGAGTCCCATGAGGGTGGTGTGGGGAGGACGAGATGGGAAATAGGGCAGGGAGCGAAGAAGAGGAGAGAGGGGGGGGAGGAAGGAGGGAGGGAGGGAGGGAGGGAGGGAGGGAGGGAGGGAGGGAGGGAGGGAGGGAGGGAGGGAGGGAGGGAGGGAGGGAGGTCTCACGAGAGTGACGAGGGAGGCGAGGGCGACGAGGAGGCTCTCTTGTTCGGGGGAGAATTCGGGGTGCGGCACCGTGTCTATCACACAGCTGCCGTGCATGGGGCGCAGAGAAGAGGAGGGCAGGGAGAATAGAATAGGAAGGGGAGGGAGGAGGATGAGTGAGGCAAGGTTTGAGTGCGTGAAGGTGACACGGTGAATCATTGTTCACGAGGCAGGTGGCGTGCGTGGCACGCAAGAGAAGGAGCACGGAAGGGAAGAGTGCGTGGCAACAAGGTGGAAAAACACTTCAAGGAAGGCAGGAGGGCTGGCTGGTGGGGCAAGAGAGCGTGGGATAACGAATGAGAGATGAGCTGCAAGCAGGCATGGAAAAAGAGAGGACGGGAGAATTGCAGGGGACAGGAGGAGGAGGAGGAGGAGGAGCAGGGGACAGCAGGAGGACCAGCAGTAGCGAGCAGGAGGGGCGAGGACGGGAGGGGCGGGGGAGGGAGAGCGGCGTACAGCGAGCCGATGACGAAGCCCCCACTGGTGGTGACCGGAGCCCCGGCATAGAAGCGGATGTATGGCGGCCCCACCACCTGCCGTGAGGGGGGAGAGGGAAACGGAGAATCAAGAGCTTGCTGTGGACGAAACGAATTTGGGAATTCTTAAAGCGAGTGACGGAGGAGGTGAGGTGGCGTGGGTGGGGAGATACTCACGAGCTTGTTGTGCACGAAGCGACTGTCCTCCAATGCGTCCCTCACCACCAGACATGGATTGCGACTGCATCAGCGGGGGAACGGAGAGGGGGAGGGGAAGGTAGTGCGGAGACCACGGGAGAAGAGGGGAGGGAGAGGCGGATAGGGAAAGCATGGAAGAAATGGGACAGACAAGTGATTTATGCAAGAGTGAGGAAGAAGATGGGATGAAGTGAGGAGGAGAGGAGGTGGGAGGAGGGGAGTGAGGAAGTGAGGAGGTGATACGAAGGTGAGCCATTCCTCTAATCTCATTTGACTGACGACACGCTGTGACACTGATGTTGCTGCAAAAGAAGGGCTTTACTTGGGCAGCAGCATGTAGGCACAGAAGGACGACTCCCTGTCCGTCTCACACACGCCTGGCAGCCCGAACGTGGACTGGTGCACAAAAAGAAGGGGTGGGGAAAGCAGGGGAAGAAGAGATGTTTCAGCAAAAGGCAGAGCGAGAAAGGTACCTCAAGGCAGCATCGCAAGAGTTGGAAAGATTGCAAGCAGACAGCAAGCCCATTCCTTGTTCGGGGGGGCCAAGCAGTTCCCACCTTGAACCACTGCCGCTCGTCCTCCACAAACGCTACCAGAGAGATCGGGCACTGCAGGGCGACGAGGTGCAGAGGGGAGCAGGGGGGGGCAGATGGGAGTGAAGGAAGGTGAAGGCTCAAGGATATTCTGGGAGAAGCTCGTTGCCGTGCAGATGAGAGGGGGATAGGGAGAGGGCGATAGTGACGGGAAGGTGGTGAGAAGGGGATGGTAAGAGAACGATAGTGAGAAGGGGATAAGGAGAGGGGGATAGTGGGACGGAATTAGAGAGACCAGGCGAGAATAAAAAATAAGCCCGTGTATCAGAAAGCAAAGCACATGCCTCACGCACCACTTCAATCATGCAATAGGTTGCACTGGGGGCGGCGGAGTGGGGTGGGGGGAATACTGACCTTAAATATCTGTGCTGCTAGTGCTGTGATTCTGTCAAAGCGGGAATTCGGCTCCTGAGGGTGCGGCAACAACGAACAACGATCATGACACAGGGGGGAGGAGGGCGGGGGAAGGGGGGGAGGGAGGGGTGGAGTAACAGCGGGAAACGGTTTGTGGGGAACCGTGTAGCAGGAAGGAGGAGCAAAAATGAGAAGAGAGATGAAAAGGGGGTGAGGGAAAGTGAGGGAAGTAACTGGATTAAGGTAGGGAAGGTTGAAGGAAGGAAGCGAACTGTAGAAGGGGAGGAGATGGGGAGGGAGTGTATGGATTGAGGCTGTAAGTGTGAGGCGGTTGCCGGTGTCAGAGCGTGCAAGTGTGAGGGGTATAGAGTGGGGGGTGAGAGTGTGAGGGGGTTGAGTGAGAGTGTGAGAGGGGTGAGAGTGGGAGGGGAGTGAGAATGTGAGGGGGCGACGTACAGTGTCGAGGATGGCGAAGCGGCGGAGCACTTGCAAGCGGAACTCCTCGTTGCTGGGCCTGGGCGCACCCTGTAGGGCGGGAGATGCACCCACGAATAGAGAATAGAGAGGCTGAGACCTACGGGTGACCTACACGCATGACCTACGTGGGAGATCGCTGGAGGAGCACTGACGAGCATAGAGTATATCACTGAAGAGCATTGACGAGCAAAGCGTGAGCACGGTGACACGGCGATGCAACGGGGACAGGAGCCATGGAGCGGGATAAGAACATCGACTCTTGGGCCTTCCTACGAACCCTACAAGTCATTGCAACTCACAGCGGGGTCGAAGGGCACGCCGGGAGGCGGTCTTCGCGGCTCGATGACGAACGGATAGAATGTCTGATCCACGTCATCCACGTCGGGATCCCACGGGACCAACGACCCGTCCGAGTCACCCACGGCCAGGTCAGTGCCAAAATTCGCTGAAACGACATCGGAAATGCCGAAAACGGAGGCGTTGTGGAAGCTAGCTAAGCCCGCGTTCTCGAAATTAGGTCTGGCGGCGTCCCCGAAATCGTTCGCGTTCGCGAAATCGGAAATGTCTAGGTCCCTGAAGCGCGCCGCGTCCTCATTTTCTTCCATCCAGCCGGCGACAGCTGCCTCGAGCGGACAGTTGATGCGGCCGGCCATTTTACCTTTGTCAGGTAAGTAGGTTCCTAATCGCGCATGGCAGCCAGCGAGCTAATTCTTGAACCCGTGCGCAATAGGTAGGCGAGACAAGCTATCCGCTAACAATCGTCTGTTCGGAGTTGTATGCGAGACGGTGCTTTTGGATTGCAACGAAAGTGAATGGAATAAGGTGGGTGGTATCCACAGTCGGATACATTTAGGGTAAGACCAACATAGCTTCTGTCGAACCGTTTAAACTAAATGAGAAGCGCCATCTTTGGCAACCGCAGCGACAATGTGAGTCCATGGGCAAGGTTAAGGGGGAGCGATTGCTTGATCTGGCAGAACAAAATGGTTAGTAGCAACACCGAGCGATGTCGGCAAAAAATCTGGCTACCAGTCCGTTAGGATCGCTTTCCTGAGACACCTTAGTTCCCCCCAAGGATAAAAAAATGCTGCTTGACAACAAGTCATCAATGACCACGCGTGATGCAAGCTGCGCATTTCTCACTGAAGCAACGGCAGGCGACTTATTTCTGGCTCAACATAAGGGCGCGTGTCTTTTGAAATTTAGGCCAGAGTTCATGTTTTTTTGTCGAATTTTTGCAATTGAACACATGTCGACCTGTAGTCGACTATCTCGCAATTTCATTGTCGAGTCGCGTGTTCACCTTGACGTGGAGCACATGGCACAAGAAATGCTCGACTTTCAAAGGTCGAATTTGTACAGTAAGATCCGAGTCGCGCCAAGTTTCGTAGGTTACCCTGTCTATACAATGAAGTTCGTTAGCACTTTCAACTCTGGTAACCTGGCGCGACGTGGTTCGTGTTCATCGCGAATCTCGCAGCTTCTTCGTGCGTGGGCAGAAGAACACACGATTGGAGAAACGTGCTCGGGGATAGTCGAATGCGAGGTCGACCCTAGTTCAGTGTTCTGTTTCAGCAACTTTGAGCTTGGACACACGTTCGTCGTGCGAAATTGGCGAAGCTAGCTACCAGAAAAAGTTCGACCATTTTTTCGAACTTCTACACCAAAAGACACACGCCATAAGAAACGACTGGGTCAGTACGAACGTCTCCTCAGCACCAGTCGACTGATTCTGGCTCAGGAATCTCATTGAGCCGTGCAACCCTAACGACGAAACAAGGAACAAGTTTGTCTGGAGACTATTCCCTACAGGCCAGTTATCTTCACCTCTCCCAAGTGGGAAATCCACTCAAATCATGGTTGCTCCATCGAAAACATATTGCGTGAAAGTGTGCTAGGGCTGAACCAAAAGCAACCCTGAAATAGTCAGGCTTGGCCCGCCGTCTTGAAAGGGGGCACGCTACTGCCTCAAACCCCGCCCACCACCAACCCTACTTGTCGCCATCAATTAGGCAATTCGTTCATCCCTAGCAGCTACAAAAAACCACGAAAGCAACAGCTCGTAGGCTTGTCTTCCCCCTCAATCTATGAACAGCGATGAGAGCGTCTCAGACGTGGAATGATCGGATCTCTAGTGCGTGTGAACAGTGTCAATGCGAAGCACAAAGAAGCATCAATGGGCTAATTCTCCACCCTTCGTGAAGTTCCAGAACCGGGTTAACAGACAGACTGAATGCCAACTACCATCCCTGGCGAGATTGCTTAAAGCCGTGGCCCAACTATCAGCTTCAACTTAAGGGTATTATAGCTTGAAACTTGGTAGTCCCAGGCAGTTCAGTGGCGAGAGGTTTGTCTTGTGCGAGATTCCATTTTTTTCGTCCAAGAAGGGTCCCGTTACGCACACTCCATATTTGTCCTGCAACTGTTCCTTGGAAGTTGCACCCCGCCTCTAACAGGGTTAGCAGTCTTGTGTACAGATCTGACCCTGTTTTCACAAGACCGTCCGAAAATCATCAAACCCTGAAGATCCCAGCGGAATCAGGTCGACGGACCCGAGTTGCCAGGGTCGACGAGGGGGGTTGCCCGAAAGGTACACATCGCGTTTTGGAAACTCTGTAGCTTTGAACATGGCCCCTAACCTGCCTCTCAGAATCCAACAAAGTTGAATTCTGTGCACTTGTAAGATCCAATCGATTTGGCACTGTGGCAATCTCTCTGTGTTCAGACTCGGCTTGTTTGTTGGACTTTCTGGCAAGCAAAGACAGCTCAAACCTGAAAGGAATGCTCTGTACACAATGCAGTATCTTAAAGTGTATTGGAAGTACAACAATCCACCCTTAAGTGAAACTCACAATATCACCACCCTCATCCCTCATTGAGCATTGCACTTTCTTTGTTACACCCTATATGAGACCAAGAAAATAATTATTTTCCCACTAACGGCCAATCAATAGGAGCTTCAACAACGCCATCCGAATGTACACGCCATTCTTAGCTTGGCGGAAATAAGCTGCTCTTGGATCCGAATCCACATCAGTCGTTATCTGCAAGTCATCCAGGGGTAAAATCGTCCAGATATGGTGAAGGCTCTTCACACACCAATTGCATAGTGATCGTGATTACCAAAAAAGTGCACGTGCACACGCACGCATGCACCCGCGCATAAGCACACACACACGCACCTGCACGCGCGCGCGCACATACACACTCACACACGGAACCAATTCCTTCACCCGCTCACCTCATCGAGTCGGGGCAGCGGATGCATGACGATGGCATCCTTCCCCAGCGCGTTCATCACGCGGCGGTCCACAATGTACTTGCCGCGCGCCGCCTCGTACTCATCCATGCGCCCGCCGAAACGCTCCTTCTGAATGCGCGTCTGGTACACCACGTCGCACTGCGCCGCCACGTCCATCAGGTCTGCCGACTCCTCCCACTCCACGCCGCGCGCCGTCAGATACTCCTTGATGTCGTCCTGCTTGGTGCGGCAGTGGGGTGGGGGGACAACAGGGGATCACTACAAGCAGGAGTGCAGGCGTGGAGGGTGCGTAAAGGGCACATGAAGGGTAAATGCCATGATCAAGCGACACAGAAAATGGACCAGGGAACAGTGGTATGAGAAAAGGGTTTCTGCATGCAGCAAGCAAGGAGGCAGAGATGGGCCACGGCACCTTCATGCGGACGACGGGCGGAGCGACGAAGATTATCTTGTTGTTGCGGAACTTGGCGAGCAGGTAGGCGAGGGAGCGCGCCGTCCTGCCGTTGGCCAGGTCGCCCACCAGCCCCACCCTGATGTTGTCCAGCCGCCCCACCTCGCGCTGAATCGTGTACATGTCCAGCAGCGACTGATGGGGGAGGGGTAGGTGTGGGGACAGTCCGGGGAGGGCAGTGCGATAGGGAAAGAAGGGTGAAGTGAGTATACCATGCATCCTGTGACTGAAAAATGGTTCATGCTGCCCCATTTACCACTGAATCGTGAACATGTCCAGCAGGGCCTGCCGGGGAAGGGGAGGGGTGGAGTGGGGGAAGGGGATAGGGTGTTGAGTGAGATAGTGAAAGAGGCGTGAGATGAGACCTGTTATGCCTCCTGTGGATGCAAAGGAGAGCTCATGTTGTGCTCCACCTCCTGGGCTGCTTATCTGGTACTTCACCCCACCATTTCCACCTATGCTACCACAACCTCCTACCTCCCTCACCTGCATTCAGCCGTGCTGCCCTAGTCCCCTCACCCGCGTACAGTGCTGCCCTAAACCCCTGACCTCAAGGTGAAGCCCTAACCCCCTCACGAGCAAGCCCGAAACCCCACAGGTGCAAGCCCTAACCCCCTCACGAGCAAGCCCGAAACCCCACAGGTGCAAGCCCTAACCCCCTCACGAGCAAGCCCGAAACCCCACAGGTGCAAGCCCTAACCCCCTCACGAGCAAGCCCGAAACCCCACAGGTGCAAGCCCTAACCCCCTCACGAGCAAGCCCGAAACCCCACAGGTGCAAGCCCTAACCCCCTCACGAGCAAGCCCGAAACCCCACAGGTGCAAGCCCTAACCCCCTCACGAGCAAGCCCGAAACCTCTCACCTGCGTGGGGTGCTGGCCGGGCCCGTCCCCCGCGTTGACGATGGGCACGGACGCCACTTGCGACGCCAGCTTCGCCGCGCCCTCCTCGTAGTGCCGCAGCACGATCACGTCCGCGTACGCCTCCACTGTGCGGATGGAGTCTGCAAAGGAGAAGGGGGGTGTGTAAGAGGGAGGGGGAGAAGGGGGTGGGGCCTAGCTTTGAGGCCTCAACACTAGACTCCTCGTAGTGCCGCAGCACAATCACGTCCGCGTGCGCCTCCACCGTGCGGATGGAGTCTGCAGTCGGTGAGAGGAGGGGGGGGAGAAGGGAGAGGACGAAGGGGAGGTGCGGGGGATGGGACGGGGGGAGGGAGGGGGAGAGGAGAGGGAGTTGGTAGTGGTGAGGAGAGGTTCAGCGAGAATGGGAACACAGGGAGGAGGAGATGAAAGGAAGGCAGCAAGGACACAAAGGACTTTACCAACGTGGCCAATTCTTTGAATTCGTGCTCTAGAGTTAACTGCTGAAATTTGTAAAGATTCAACTCTGTAAATCGGTCATTCTTGTTGATTCGGGATCAAAATACTCCGAATCCACTCTCCACGTGCTGTACTATCTCTTCATTTCCTTTTCAACTAAATTTCTCCTACCTTTACCCCCTTCCCTGCCTCCTTTTCCCCCGTTTTCCCCTCACCTCCTCCCGAACTCACCCGCAAGGCTCTCGCCCTTTGCAGCGGACGAGAATTCGCGCGCGTTCTCCGTGGTCAGCACCTCGCCGCCGAGCCGCTTCATGGCAGATTCGAACGACAGCCGCGTGCGCGTGGACGGCTCGTAGAACAGCGTCGCCATGAGGTACCCGCGCAGCATGTTCGAGCACCCCGCGCCGCCACGTCCCTCCAGGATCTGCTGCATCTCGTCTGCGACCTCGAAGATCTCCGACAGCAAGTCGCGATTGAACTGCTGCGCCTCGATCACGTGCTCGAACCGCCGCTTCTCAACGGGAGGCTCGCGAAGCGCGGAAGACGGGGAAGGAGACAAGGGCGCTGCGGCGGTGCTGGTTGATGGAGTGGAGGTTTGCGCGACGGTTCGGGACCTGGGTGGTTCCAGTTCCGGCGCTGCGACTCGTGCGAGTGCCAGGCGACGTCGCGCCGGTTGTTGCGAAGCCTGCGAAAGTTGTTGTGCTGGCTGGAGGGATTTCGCAGACCGACGAAGCGATCCTGCACTAGACTTGAGCGACAGGAAATGCGGAGCGATGGCAGCCATGGCGACAGGTGGCGATTATTTCCCGCTTCTGTGAGAAAGGATTCTTGGAAAAGGTCAAGAAGCGATCCTAGCGCCTGCCGCTGTTGTTAAGGTTTCAACTGTCGTCCGAAGGAAAGAGTGCCAGCCCGACACGGCGACCTAGGCACAAAACAGGAGACGAGAAAGAAATGCGAGGCAAGCGGACTCGCAAGTGAAAGAAGACTCTTGACAAGAATCTAGTAGTACGTGTGACCCTGTAATGAGGAAGGAATTTGCTGGAAGCCACGGGATGGTGTGGGTGAAACGGGATGGGAAATGAAGCAAAAGCCACGTGCTTCATGGGAGATCCTCAACGTTTGGAGAATAGTAGCACTGAAATTGCGCGGTGTCCCCCTGCTTGTCCCCTGAACCCTGCCATGCATGCTATGAAGTCCTGAATCTAGAGGGGGCGTTTGGCCTCCCTGAGGAGCTTTGGATTCTGTACTGGATGACCCGACTACTATAGCGTTTCCCACACACTATACACATAAATCCCCTCACATTTCCTAAGCAAGAGTTCGTCCTTGTTCCCCACCCCCTCCCCTATATGCGAGTGTGAGAATGATTACTAGCGGGCCCACCTTTCGCGACGTTTCTAGGCCTGGCGACAGTTACGCTGTTTCTCAGCCTTCGCGCAAGGCTGGAGTTCGTGTGCATCTTGATGTTGTCCATCACTTCCTCGCAATGCCGGCTCTCCATCGGCCTCGTCCTTCTATCGCCGTGTCGCCTTCACTGGGCTCCCGTGTGCCTCCAGTACCTGTCGTTCCGCAAACAACTTCCAGCTGTCCAGCTTTCTGTCTGCACCTTTCGTCGCGGGCATTCGTCATCTAACAAAACCCGTTTCCGCAACGGCTCGGTAATCGATCGTTTCGCGTCTTTCGCACGTTCCTCTGCGCAATTTCCGGAATTCGATTCGTCTGCGAGCACCCTCGCACGCGGCATGTCGCAGCACGCGTCCACTCCGGCGGAGGGGCAGCGGACGCCGCGCCAGGCGCTGCGCAGTCAGAGGTGGTGGCGTTCGACGCGCCGAAGAGCATTCCGGGGATGATGGAGCTGCGCCAGCTGCTGACCCACGACCCCGTCGGTGAGCCTCTCTCCAACCCTCGGGGCGAACGCAGGGGGACTGGGTTTGTGCGATGACTGCTGCGACGCACGCCGTCGCACAGGCGCAATAATTTCCGTCCGCCCTGTCTGCGTCCGCGCCAGCGCGTCTGCGCGGTTTGGCCTCCGTCATTCGCATCGCACCACATCATCCGCACCCCAAGGCGCGCCGAAATATTTCTGTGGAAATGGCTTATGGTACCAGGGCGCTGGCGTGGTTGATTGCCCCATCCATGCTCCCCTCTCACTCCACTCCGCCCACCACGCCCAATCGCCTCCACTCGCCGCTCTCTATCCCTCCGCATCCCTCGGGGATTCCCTAACCCTGATTTTCATCCCTTCTCCCGCACCATCGTGGCAGGCGGGTGGGACAAGGCGTGGCAGGCGAGCACGACGCCATGGGACCTGGGCGGCGTGACGCCGGCTGTAGCGGCGCTCGTGGCGGCACAAGAGGGGTCGCCGCTGCACCTGCCGCCCTCCATCCGCCGCGTGCTCGTCCCCGGCTGTAGCACCGTGAGTGCCTTGCGCCCGGCTGTAGATCGGGATTGCACAGTTGTTGATTCACGGAACATGTGAGCCGGGCTGTAGCAGGAGAGGAATGCACAGTGGGCGTTTCATGGAAGATGTGAACGGGGCTGTAGCAAGAGAGGGGGGTAGTGAGTCCAAGGCATGTGAGATGATTGCTGCTTGGTTGTCTAAGACCTCCCATGCCCTCGGCACATCACTGCATGCTATCATGTGGGTCCATGGTATGGCATGGCATGGCATGGCATGGCATGGCAGGGCTATGACGTGGAGGTGTTGGCATCGGATGGCAGGGAGGCGACGGCCCTTGACATCTCGCCTGCCGCTGTGGTGCATGCTGAGAAGAGAAGGTGGGCGTGCGTGGCATGGGTGCGGCACCAACGCCCGCCCCTCGCGTTGCTTGATGAGCACAACTCGCACAAGCGGGTGGACAGTGCCTGTGCAGCCAGCACTACACCCATTCGCCCTTCCCTTCTTCACCCATCCCTCTGCTCACACCCCTGCCCTCCCACTCTTTTCCACTCCTCCCCTGTTGCCCAATGTCTACCCTTTTAGCCCGCTCTACCCTCTCAACCCTCTCCTTCTCCCGCCCATCCTCCTCCCGTTTGCTGCTCACCAGCGATTGGAGGGGGTGACAAACAGGGCGGCCATGGCGTTTTAGTGTGGCAACTGTTTTCACTACCGCCCACCACAGCCCACCACAGCCCACCACAGCCCTTCCACGCCGCGCCATCTTGGACTGCCCGTGAGCCCAGCCCAGCCCGCCCCCAAGCCTCTCACCCCCCACCGCTCTCCCTCTCACTCCCTCACATACCAAGCACCTGCTGCCATACTAGCTATCCCTCCTCTGCTGCTCTCCTTGCCCCAGTCGTGTGCCTGGCATCTCAATCGCTCCGCCATCTGGTGTGTCGCATTCTCTCCTACTGTCACCAACACCATGTACCCGTCATCCCCCTTCCCCCTCAACCAGTCTCTGTCAGTGCCCACATGCCCCATCGCCCCTGCCATGCCCCTCACACCCTCATGCCCCCGCGCACCATCCCTCCATGTCCCCCACGCACCATCCCTCCATGTCCCCCATGCACCGTCCCTCCATGTCCCTCCACGGGTCTCACCGCGTGCAGGTCCTTCTGTGCGCTGGCGCCATCGCTGAGGGGCAAGATAGCAGAGCTGCTCGCATTACTCTCATGTTCCCCGTGCGTACCATTGCACCCTCGCACCATGCATATCCATGCACGCCTGTCACTCAATGTTCATGTGTGTCCTCGTGTTACTGCACACATGAATGCACCCTCGCATGCTCCCTCGGGCAAACACTAATCACCGCTGTCTGCTCACGGCGCGTGGCTGGCTGGCTGTGTGTCTGCCCCTCGCTGCGTGCGCCTGGCCTGCAGATCGATGGACACGAGGGCGGCCCACCCTATGCCGTCTCCAAGGACAGGTGCGCCCCTCCTCTCCCCGCGTCCTCCCTCGCCCCTCTCCCGCCTCTCTTCCCTGTCCACCCTTTCCCCACTCTCTCCCTTTCTCCCTTGTTCTACCTGTCCCCCTTGTTCCCCCTTGTCCCCCCTGCTCCGCCTGGTCCGCTTGTCACATCCGCTGTTAGCACCAGGGCATGGGGCACCAGGGCACGGGGCACCAAGGCATGGGGCACCAGGGCACGGGGCACCAAGGCATGGGGCACCAGGGCACGGGGCACCAAGGCATGGGGCACCAGGGCACGGGGCACCAAGGCATGGGGCACCAGGGCACGGGGCACCAAGGCATGGGGCACCAGGGCACGGGGCATCAAGGCATGGGGCACCAGGGCACGGGGCACCAAGGCATGGGGCACCAGGGCACGGGGCACCAAGGCATGGGGCACCAGGGCACCAGGTCACCAGGTCAGTGCTCACAGTCAGTGTGCGTCAGGGCACAGGTCACCAGGGCACGGGGCACCAAGGCATGGGGCACCAGGGCACTGCTGTGCTTGTCACCACTGCTGTGCTTGTCACCACTGCTGGGCTTGTCACCACTGCTGTGCTTGTCACCACTGCTGTGCTTGTCACCACTGCTGGGCTTGTCACCACTGCTGTGCTTGTCACCACTGCTGTGCTTGTCACCACTGCTGGGCTTGTCACCACTGCTGTGCTTGTCACCACTGCTGGGCTTGTCACCACTGCTGTGCTTGTCACCACTGCTGTGCTTGTCACCACTGCTGTGCTTGTCACCACTGCTGTGCTTGTCACCACTGCTGGGCTTGTCACCACTGCTGGGCTTGTCACCACTGCTGTGCTTGTCACCACTGCTGTGCTTGTCACCACTGCTGTGCTTGTCACCACTGCTGGGCTTGTCACCACTGCTGGGCTTGTCACCACTGCTGGGCTTGTCACCACTGCTGGGCTTGTCACCACTGCTGTGCTTGTCACCACTGCTGTGCTTGTCACCACTGCTGGGCTTGTCACCACTGCTGGGCTTGTCACCACTGCTGGGCTTGTCACCACTGCTGGGCTTGTCACCACTGCTGTGCTTGTCACCACTGCTGTGCTTGTCACCACTGCTGGGCTTGTCACCACTGCTGTGCTTGTCACCACTGCTGGGCTTGTCACCACTGCTGGGCTTGTCACCACTGCTGGGCTTGTCACCACTGCTGGGCTTGTCACCACTGCTGTGCTTGTCACCACTGCTGTGCTTGTCACCACTGCTGGGCTTGTCACCACTGCTGGGCTTGTCACCACTGCTGGGCTTGTCACCACTGCTGGGCTTGTCACCACTGCTGGGCTTGTCACCACTGCTGTGCTTGTCACCACTGCTGGGCTTGTCACCACTGCTGTGCTTGTCACCACTGCTGTGCTTGTCACCACTGCTGGGCTTGTCACCACTGCTGGGCTTGTCACCACTGCTGTGCTTGTCACCACTGCTGTGCTTGTCACCACTGCTGTGCTTGTCACCACTGCTGTGCTTGTCACCACTGCTGGGCTTGTCACCACTGCTGGGCTTGTCACCACTGCTGTGCTTGTCACCACTGCTGTGCTTGTCACCACTGCTGTGCTTGTCACCACTGCTGGGCTTGTCACCACTGCTGGGCTTGTCACCACTGCTGGGCTTGTCACCACTGCTGGGCTTGTCACCACTGCTGTGCTTGTCACCACTGCTGTGCTTGTCACCACTGCTGGGCTTGTCACCACTGCTGGGCTTGTCACCACTGCTGGGCTTGTCACCACTGCTGGGCTTGTCACCACTGCTGGGCTTGTCACCACTGCTGTGCTTGTCACCACTGCTGTGCTTGTCACCACTGCTGTGCTTGTCACCACTGCTGTGCTTGTCACCACTGCTGGGCTTGTCACCACTGCTGGGCTTGTCACCACTGCTGGGCTTGTCACCACTGCTGGGCTTGTCACCACTGCTGGGCTTGTCACCACTGCTGTGCTTGTCACCACTGCTGGGCTTGTCACCACTGCTGGGCTTGTCACCACTGCTGGGCTTGTCACCACTGCTGGGCTTGTCACCACTGCTGGGCTTGTCACCACTGCTGTGCTTGTCACCACTGCTGGGCTTGTCACCACTGCTGTGCTTGTCACCACTGCTGTGCTTGTCACCACTGCTGGGCTTGTCACCACTGCTGGGCTTGTCACCACTGCTGGGCTTGTCACCACTGCTGGGCTTGTCACCACTGCTGTGCTTGTCACCACTGCTGTGCTTGTCACCACTGCTGGGCTTGTCACCACTGCTGGGCTTGTCACCACTGCTGGGCTTGTCACCACTGCTGGGCTTGTCACCACTGCTGGGCTTGTCACCACTGCTGGGCTTGTCACCACTGCTGTGCTTGTCACCACTGCTGGGCTTGTCACCACTGCTGTGCTTGTCACCACTGCTGGGCTTGTTGCTCACTCCCTCTCTGGCTCATTGCATGTGCGGCCACTCACCTGCCTCTGTCTGTGCTGTTGTGCCTCTACTCATGCATGCGAGTGTGTGTGAGCGTGCGTGTGTGTGTGGGTGCCGGTGTGGGTGGGTGAGTGGGGGTATGGTGTGCGTGGATGCGTGGGCGAGTGCTTGGCCGGGTGCGTGGGCGGTTGGTTGGGTGGGTGGGTGGCGGGTGGGTGGGTGGGCGGGTGCATGGGGGGTGCGTGTGGTGGGTGGGACGTGCAGGGCAGGGAGTAGCAGGCCAAGGGGGTGCAGCATCCAAGGTGTGACGCGCCTGGGACTACTGCAATGGGCACCCGCGAGCAACACGGGCCACCTCGAAGCACCTTAGGAGACAACGTCTGTCTCACACCGTGTGTTTCATCTCAAGGCGTACAATATATTGAGAAACGAAGCTCCGTGCTTGTTTGAGTTACAAAGTGGGCGTCAGAGCAGTGGCGTCAGTACTGTGTGAACTCAAAGTCCACTCCCTGCAGTTACGGAAGATGCAGTGCACGTGCTACCTTGGATGACACGTGCAGTAGGTACAAGCGGATACAACCTTGAGTGTCCTATGAGAGTGCCAGTGCCGCGGATGCCATACAACCTTATCTGTGATTGTTACTGCTGTATGGTGCCTTGAAACTATTTTCAAAGAGAGGTGTCCTCCCCACTCAGCACCTCCCATCCCACGCAGCAACCCAACTGGATTTGTACTTGTGATACTGCTGCACTCATACCGTTATAACCTTGTTCTTTCCTAGTAAACTGTTAATAGCACGTTCGAAACTTGAAAATAATTGGTTATGATTTCGTATCAGGAGTGGTGCTAGAAAGCTGCAATTTGATATTGATCCTTCTATGAGACAGAAAGAACATTCAGTAGAGTTATCACCCAACCACTAACAAGCAAAATACGTAACATGGGTGTACTGGGTTGGGTATGTATCAGCTCGCCACATCTCTACTATGCTACTTCTCTGCTTCTCCAGATACTACCACAATCCTGGCCTGTATTGCTTCACTGCAACACTGGTTGACTGCATCACTGGTTGACAGCTTCACTGCATCACTGGTTGACTGCTTCACTGGTTGACAGCTTCACTGCATCACTGGTTGACTGCTTCACTGCATCACTGGTTGACTGCTTCACTGCATCACTGGTTGACTGCTTCACTGCATCACTGGTTGACTGCTTCACTGCATCACTGGTTGACTGCATCACTGCATCACTGGTTGACTTCTTCACTGCATCACTGGTTGACTGCTTCACTGCATCACTAGTTGACTGCATCACTGCATCACTGGTTGACTGCTTCACTGCATCACTGGTTGACTGCATCACTACATCACTGGTTGACTGCTTCATTGCATCACTGGTTGACTGCTTCACTGCTTCACCATCCAACCAACATCTCCCCCTCCGTTACTCATCGATTCCCGTCAATTCTCCCCAGTCATTACTCCAATACCAGCATCACTGCTTAACTACTTTGCTGCTTCACTAGTTTCTTCTCAATTCCCATTAGTTCGCTGCTTCCCTTTAGTTCACTGCTGCTTCCCCTTCACTGATGCTTTCCCTTCACTGCTGCTTCCCCTCGTTTTTTTTTTTTTTTACTCGAAGGCTTGTGCACAAGCCATGGAGGATAAAAAATCCGTCCCATCAGCATCGCGTTGGGTATGATGCCTACGGGCTAAGACCCTGACAATTAGGGTACTGCCGTATCACTTGGCTAAAAAACCTCCTGAAGGGCGCTTCCCTACACCCCACTGCTTCTCCCCTCCTCTGCACCAGCGGCTGCTTCTGCTGCTCCCCTTAACTGCACCAGGCAGCTGCTTCTCCGCTTCAAGGTTTAGGGGTTCCTCTCCCCTTCTCTAGAGCAGGCGGCTGCTTCTCCCATTCTCCTTTTTACTGCACCAGGCAACTGCACCCCTTTCTCTGCACCAAGCTGTTCCTCCCATTTCAGGGCTTAGTGGTTTTCCTCCCCTTCTCTGCACCAGACGACTGCTATTTCCCTTCAGGGTTAAGGGGTTCCTCTCCCCTTGACTGCACCAGGAGGCGGCTGCTTCTCTCCTTCTCCCCTTGTCTGCACCAGAAGGCGGCTGCTTCTCTCCTACTCCCCTTGTCCGCACCAGAAGGCGGCGGCTTCTCTCCTACTCTTCTTGTCTGCACCAGAGGGCGGCGGCTTCTCTCCTTCTCCCCTTGACTGCACCAGGAGGCGGCTGCTTCTCTCCTTCTCCCCTTGTCTGCACCAGAAGGCGGCTGCTTCTCTCCTACTCCCCTTGTCTGCACCAGAAGGTGGCGGCTTCTCTCCTACTCTTCTTGACTGCACCAGAAGGCGGCTGCTTCTCTCCTTCTCCCCTTGTCTGCACCAGAAGGCGGCTGCTTCTCTCCTTCTCCCCTTGTCTGCACCAGGAGGCGGCTGCTTCTCTCCTTCTCCCCTTGTCTGCACCAGAAGGCGGCTGCTTCTCTCCTTCTCCCCTTGTCTGCACCAGAAGGCGGCTGCTTCTCTCCTACTCCCCTTGTCCGCACCAGAAGGCGGCTGCTTCTCTCCTTCTCCCCTTGTCTGCACCAGAAGGCGGCTGCTTCTCTCCTTCTCCCCTTGTCTGCACCAGAAGGCGGCTGCTTCTCTCCTTCTCCCCTTGTCCGCACCAGAAGGCGGCTGCTTCTCTCCTCCCCTTGTCTGCACCAGAAGGCGGCTGCTTCTCTCCTTCTCCCCTTGTCTGCACCAGGAGGCGGCTGCTTCTCTCCTTCTCCCCTTGTCTGCACCAGAAGGCGGCTGCTTCTCTCGTTCTCCCCTTGTCTGCAACAGAAGGCGGCTGCTTCTCTCCTTCTCCCCTTGTCTGCACCAGAAGGCGGCTACTTCTCTCCTTCTTCCCTTGTCCGCACCAGAAGGCGGCTGCTTCTCTCCTTCTCCCCTTGTCCGCACCAGAAGGCGGCTGCTTCTCTCCTTCTCCCCTTGTCTGCACCAGAAGGTGGCTGCTTCTCTCCTACTCCCCTTGTCCGCACCAGGAGGCGGCTGCTTCTCTCCTTCTCCCCTTGTCTGCACCAGAAGGCGGCTGCTTCTCTCCTTCTCCCCTTGTCTGCACCAGAAGGTGGCTGCTTCTCTCCTACTCCCCTTGTCCGCACCAGGAGGCGGCTGCTTCTCTCCTTCTCCCCTTGTCTGCACCAGGAGGCGGCTGCTTCTCTGCTTCTCCCCTTGTCTGCACCAGAAGGCGGCTGCTTCTCTGCTTCTCCCCTTGTCTGCACCAGAAGGCGGCTGCTTCTCTACTTCTCCCCTTGTCTGCACCAGAAGGCGGCTGCTTCTCTCCTTCTCCCCTTGTCTGCACCAGAAGGCGGCTGCTTCTCTCCTTCTCCCCTTGTCTGCACCAGAAGGCGGCTGCTTCTCTCCTTCTCCCCTTGTCCGCACCAGAAGGCGGCTGCTTCTCTCCTTCTCCCCTTGTCCGCACCAGAAGGCGGCTGCTTCTCTCCTTCTCCCCTTGTCTGCACCAGGAGGCGGCTGCTTCTCTCCTTCTCCCCTTGTCTGCACCAGAAGGCGGCTGCTTCTCTCCTTCTCCCCTTGTCTGCACCAGGAGGCAGCTGCTTCTCTCCTTCTCCCCTTGTCTGCACCAGGAGGCGGCTGCTTCTCTCCTTCTCCCCTTGTCTGCACCAGAAGGCGGCTGCTTCTCTCCTTCTCCCCTTGACTGCATCAGGAGGCTGCACCCCTTTCTTTGCAACAGGCTGCTGCTTCTCCCCTTCGAGGTTTGAAGATTCCTCTCCCCATCTCTAGACCAGGCGGCTGCACCCCTTTCTCTGCACCAAGCTGCTTTACACCTTCTTCTCTGCACCAGGCTGCCTCTCCCCTTTACGGTTTACGGGTTCTTCTCCCCTTGCAAATCCTCCTCCCCGTAACGGTTTAGGGGTCCTTCTCCCCTTGCAAATCCTCCTCCCCTTAACGGTTTTGGGGTTCATCTCCCCTTGTCTGCACCAGGAGGCGGCTTCTCCCTTGTCTGCACCAGGAGGCGGCTACTCGCTTCAGGGTTTAGGGGTTCTTCTCCCCTTGTCTGCAGGCGGCTTCTCCCCCTAACTACTTGAAGCGGCATCTCCCCTTGACTGCTTCAAACGGCGGCTGCTCCCCTCCACTGTTCCATCCCTCTCTCCCTGTGGCTGGCTGACGCATCAAGTGACGAACCCCCCACACCCACGCCAGTGTGAGAAAGCCCCGAGGCTCTAAGTGAAACCGCGAGCCTCCTAAACGAAAACCCTCAGGTGACCTAGAATGAGTATTTCCACACGCACGCCAGTGTGGACTCATCATTCAGAGGTAAGACAAGATCTCCGCACCCACGCCAGTGCGGTCTCCCTTCTCTTTAGAGTGACTCAAGCCCCCCGCACCCACCCTGGTGCGGTGCTGACTTGTGGTGCAAGTGCAACCGCAACAGTGATGCTACCTGGAGCGTCAGGTACCCGGGTTGCTTGATTCTGGGCCCAGGCAGTGCAAAGCCTCCCGGGCGACTTTGCACTGCCAGAACCAAGCACCGGCCCTTACTCCATCACATCACTGCTGAGATCACACCCACACCGCGCCACTCGCCTTAGGACCGACTGAGCTTGCGCTAGCTCAGCCACCTCTTAGGCCACCCTTGAGTTCCCATCTAGCCACCATCCGCGCAACCCTTCACCACAACCCTCCGCTGCTTCGCCACATCCCTCCCGCCCAGCCTCCGCTTCCGCAGCAACCGCTTCCGCAACAACCGCTTCCGCAGCCTCCTCCTCCGTCTACTCCTTGCAGCCCAGCCTCCTTGTAGCCAAGCCTCCTTGCAGCCTCCTCCTACGCTGCTCCCCTGTAGAGTGTTGTAGACTACTTCGCTGCTTCCCTGTAGGCTGCTTCGCTGCTTCCCTTTAGGCTGCTTCGCTGCTTCCCTGTAGATTGCTTTGCTGCTTCCCTGTAGGCTACTTCGCTGCTTCCCTGTAGGCTGCTTCACTGCTTCCCTGTAGGCTGCTTCGCTGCTTCCCTGTAGGTTGCTTCGCTGCTTCCCTGTAGGCTGCTTCGCTGCTTCCCTGTAGGCTGCTTTGCTGCTTCCCTGTAGGCTGCTACGCTGCTTCCCTGTAGGCTACCAACACCGCTTTCGCAGCCCACGCTTAGCTTCCGCAGCAAGTATTCCGCTTCCGCAGCCCATGCTCCGCTTCCGCAGCCCATACTCGGCTTCCGCCGCCCATGCTCCGCCTCCGCAGCCCATGCTCCGCCTCCGCAGCCCATGCTCCGCCTCCGCGGCCCATACTCCGCCTCCGCAGCCCATACTCCGCCTCCATAGCCCATACTGCGCCTCCGCAGCCCATACTCCGCTTTCACAGGGTTTAGGGGTACATCACCAAGCCGCCTCTCCCCTTGTCTGCACCAGGCTGAATCAACCTTTCAGGGTTCAGGGGTTCATCTCCTCTCCTCTCCACCAGGCCGCCGCTCTGTAAGTTGCTCGGCCGCTTTGTAGATTGCTCCGCCGCTCGGTAAGTTGCTCGACCGCTTTGTAGATTGCTCCGCCGCTCGGTAAGTTGCTCGGCCGCTTTGTAGATTGCTCCGCCGCTCGGTAAGTTGCTCGACCGCTTTGTAGATTGCTCCGCCGCTCTGTAAGATGCTTGGCTGATTCGTAGAGTTCTCCTTCGCCATTTCTGTCGTGGTTGGCTGGTCCTGTTAAGAGAAAACGATGGACACATGTTAGTATGTATGTTACCAGAATCTCAGAATGCCAATGTTAAGGAAAACTAGCAGACACCAATTGCAACGGTAAACGGTGGAAGGAGTGAGACGGTGAACAGCTTACCAGATGCTTCAACAGTGCATTCTATTGCTTCCTTGGTTGCTTCGCTGCTTCCGCAGCCAAGGAATCGCTTCCGCAGTCCAGCCTCCGCTTCCGCAGCCCAGCAACTGTAGTCTTCGTTCTCTGCTTCAAGTCTGCTTCAAGTTTGCTCCTTTGAAGGCTGCGCCGTCGCTCTGAAAGGTGCTCGCCGAGTCATAGACTTGTCCTTCGCCACTTCCGTCTTAGTTGGTTGGTCCCGTTAAGAGAGAACAACAGACACATATTAGTATTTAAGTTACCAGATTCTCAGTTTCTCAGAATTCAAATCTTAACAAAAACTGACAGACACCAATTGCAATGGTAAACAATGGAAGGAGTAATACGGTGAACAGCTTACCAGTTGCTTCAACGGTGCATTCCGCTGCTTCCTTGGTTGCCGCTTCCGCAGCCCAGGAACCGCTTCCGCCGCCCAGCCTCCGCTTCTGCTGCCCAGCCTCTGCTTACGCAGCCCAACAACCGCCTCCGCTGCCCAGCTTCCGCTTCCGCAGCCCAGCAACCGCATCCGCAGCGCAGCAACCGCATCCGCGGCCCACCTTCGCTTCCGCAGGCCAGCAACCGCTTACACAGCCGCTTCCACCGTAAAGCCACCGCTTCCGCCACTTCGTAGGCTCCTTGGTTGGCTGCTCGTAGGCTCCTTGGTTGGCTGCTCGAAGGCTCCTTGGTCCTGTTTTAAGAAAAATCACAAACAAAAATTAGTACAAAAGCTTCTGAATCAAAATCTCAAAGGAAAGACACAATTTTGCAGAAAACGGCAAAACCCAAGGATGAACAATGCAATGGCTGTTAACTTACTTGACAGCTTCCATGGCCTCGCTTCCGCAGGCCAGCAACCGCCTTCGCCGCCCAGCTTCTGCTTCCGCAGCCCAGCAACCGCATCCGCAGCGCAGCAACCGCATCCGCAGCCCACCTTCACTTCCGCAGGACAGCAACCGCTTACACAGCCGCTCCCGCCGCCAAGCAACCGCTTCCGCCGCTTTGTAGGCTCCTTGGTTGGCTGCTCGTAGGCTCCTTGGTTGGCTGCTCGTAGGCTCCTTGGTCCTGTTTTAAGAAAAACACAAACAAGAATTAGTACATATTCTTCGGAATCCGAATTTCAAAGGAAAGACACCATTTTGCAACCTGATTAAGCATAAAACAGTTAAAATGGCTAAAGCAAGTGCAGCTGCTTCCTTAATAGCATCGCTTCTTAGTTGCTTAGCTCCAATTGCTTCGTAGGCTGCTCCTTCTTTGCCATTTGCATCTTCATTGTTCTGTTTAAGAAAAAAAAAACAAACTAAGTCAGTATCTAATCTTCAGAATCAAAATCTCAAAGAAGGACACCATTTGCAGGCAATTCAAAAAGAAAGCGTTAACATGGTTAAACAGTAAACTTACCACTACGTTGAGCTGCTTGCTTGGGTTGGTAGCTTGGCTCCTTGGTTGCTCCGGCCTTGAATAATCCGCTCCTTGGTTAATCAGCTCCATTTGCAGATCCGCCTTCACACACAACGTGATCCTTATTGCTGAAAACAGGGGGTAGGAAACACAGAAGAGGGCTCGAAGTTAGTAAACAGCAAGACAAGAAGAAAAAAAAAAGGAAAAAAAACGAACAAGCATAAAACAAATGCGAAAAGTGAAAAGCGATGAATATGAAAATGACAAACGAAAACGAGGGCGGACGTCCATGGTCACGGGCTGCAGCCTTCGGAGGGAGGATCTAATCTAGCCACCCGACTACCCAACCGAGGAGGATCTTCTTCCAGCTGCAACCGCATGACCAGAGGGACGGTGGAAACGTGATTCACGAATAGTCGGGTTGTGGATGATGATGATGATGATAGCGAGGAAATTGAAACGAAAGCGAGGAAAAAGCCAAAGGAAGGGGGAAGTAACACTTCCCAATCAAACGCGGCAGCGTGATGAAGCGTGGCAGCACCACGTCCATCGCGTCAGACCGCGTCCCACCGCGTCACATCGCCGGCCACCGCACTAGAGCGCTTCAAAGCAGAACGTCCAACACTTAAAATGGAGAGCAGCAAGTTCGGATGCAGATTCTTCATTGGACGAGCAGCAAGTCTTTTGTACATGCGAATATACAAACACAAGAGTCAGAAATCAGAAATATACGTGGAGAATTTCAAAGAACAAGTACATCCAAATGGATCTAGTGCGTTTCAAGTTAAATTAGGTGGACATAAAAATCTCGTGCTTACCTCTGGAAATCGGAAGGGCGGCTGGGCGGGGGGAAGCGTGCGGATGGATGGAGGCGGTGGTGGGCGATCTCTAGGTGTTGACCAAAAGAAACGTCAGACCAACACGTCAGCGTGAAGACAGGCAACAACAGCACTCCCAACGTGCCAGAGCGTCACGCACGGCTTGCAAATGCAGAGCAGAAGTTCGGCTTGAGCAGAAGTACGGCTAGAGCAGAAGTTCGGCTTGAGCAGAAGTTCGGCTTGAGCAGAAGTTCGGCTTGAGCAGAAGTTCGGCTTGAGCAGAAGTTCGGCTTGAGCAGCAGTTCGGCTTGGGCAACAGTCCGGCTTGAGCAACAGTTCGGCTTGAGCAATAGTTCGGCTTGAGCAACAGTTCGGCTTGAGCAACAGTTCGGCTGCGGAGCAGCAGGTCGTATGCAGAATCGTCACTCGACTTGTCCTTGTACCTGTGAAGAACGAACACAGAAGAGTCAGTAATCGGAAGTTACACGAATAAATTCTGAAACAATGACATCGAAGTCGGCATAACAACTTTATGCTTACCTTTGGAGATCGAAGGGAAGACTGGGCGGGGGGCGGTGTACGGATGGAGCGGGGTTGAGCGGGGTTGCAGGTTGGCGATGGGGGCGAATGGTTGGTGGGCGATCTCCAGGGTTTATG